AGATATACTAAAATATAAATGCATCAATGGCATATTTGGGGAGAATTGATGGCCGACAAAAAGGAAAGAGAATGCTAAAACAAATGTTACCTAAAGTGAGTTATTAACAATTGAAAATCTGGGCGGTATCTAATATATTGGGCCGATTAAATATTAGTCAAAAGGTCGGTTCGGGTGCGGGTACACGGTGCGGGGCGCACGGAGTTCTCTCTCGGTCCAACAATAATAAATAATCGAGGCCCGACACGAACGTTCAATAATTAAAAATAAAACGAGATATAAATATATATATATATATATATAATACACACAAACAATATTTATAAATATTAAAATTTAATCACATACACATAGTTAGGCAATTTAGACATTTAATATAAACAACAATAATATTCATTTAATAATAATAAACATTTAAACATTTAAAAAGATTTAGACATTTAATGACATTTAGTCAAATAATAATAATAACAATGATAATAATAATAAAAGCAAAAATAATATAAATAATTCCCAAATATTTCACAGTCTCCCCAGTCGCCTCGAACTTGCTGTGCCGGTTCCATTGCACCTTGACGAGATCGACTGCCCCTGTCCACAGTTGATGAACCTTCCGGTCCAGTACGAACACCGGTACCTACTCATAGGTAAGGCCTTGCTAGACCTGCAATACGACGAAGTCCACCACATGTTCGGGGTCATAAACTCCGACAACACAGACGGTAAACCTAACCGGTAGGCCAAGTCTTCGACTCGTGCGAGATTCTGAAAGGGTCCGATATAGTGAGGTCGAAGCTTTCCCTTCTTCCCGAAACAAACAACACCCCTCAGGGGTGCGACCTTCAGGAAGACATTTATACCAACATCAATTCCACGGTGATTACATAGTCTCCAATCGAGATCGAGACTCCGCTCGACAGTGCAACACCTCAAATTCCTGCCGTCTCGAGGGACATCCCTCTCATGGCTAAGCAATAATCAGCAAAACTCACCTAATCAAGAATTAAGTGATTTAAAGAATTCATGCATTGGTTCAGTGGAACTTGGATCTCTCGGTTCAAGGTTCAGAAGACAAAGTTCAAGGGTCACATTCTGGTACTGAAACTGGTTGAACGGTTCAAAATGAATCAACAGTATGGTTGATGCACTGTCCCCCGAGAGGTGGCACACTTGCTGGCGCTGCATAAGCGGGGCGCTGGGACATGGGTGTGTACTTGTTCGGAGACCAACTTCAAGATCAGGGTATGGCCGTACGTACTGGCATCGTGAGTTTGGCGTTCGATGATGGTGGCTGCAGCTCGCGCGCGAGTCAACCGTCAGCTGTGCACTAGCCTCGCGTCTCTCAGCACGGACATGTGTGCTCGGCCACCACTTCGCGTGGCTACACCTGATCAGGGCCGAAATTAGGTTCGAGGTATGAGAAGAATTTCTCCAAATCAAAGGTAAACATTTTCAAGGTAATTGGGAGGAAAAAGTGTTTTGCACAAAATTTCGAACGACAACAATTTGAGGTTTAATCAAAAATGATTTCCCCCCATCATGTAAGTATGGAACAACTACAACAGTTTCAAGGGTTTCAAATTTTGAATAAGGCATAAACCGAGTTCCAAGTTCACCACCTTTCCTGATCAACACAGTCTCCATCGAACAAACAACGATAGAGGTCGGGAGAATTTCCCAAAAAGAATGAGGATCAGTTCCTCAATCAAGAATAATCTCAATCACAGCGGTCACTACTAAGTAATGAAATGCTTAGCTCACTCGACTCTCCCGACTAATAGTGTCGGTCGTCACGTCAGCTCTTGGTCGCGTAGCTAACCGTGTCGGCAGTCCTAAATGAGCTTCCAAAGATTACGATGAACAAAAATCAAAAGCGAAGACGGCCCTGCACTTCACGATGTGCCTGCACTTGGCACGACTACCCTCCTTAAAAGATTCTCAAAATCTTTTAAGGTGGAACAACACTTCTCGATTCCCTAACTTCATATTGAATTAGAGGCATCACAAAACCAGATTCTCAATTTACGAGGATAGATAAGGATCATCAAAGAATTAAAATGTTTAACTCCATCTGAAATCTCATCCCATGCAAAATAAGGGAAGGCAAACATAATTCCAAAGTACTGAAATTGAGCAGAATAAAGGAGTCTCAAACACAATTCAAAATTACCTGCCACGCGAAAGAAAAATAAATGAAGGTCTGCAAGGTTTCTGCGAAAGCAAAATCTTAGGAAAAGAAAACAAAACTGATGTTGTGACACGATTCCACGATTAACTTCCTCCACAATAGATTCAAGTCATTCCCAATTAGTCCTGCTATCGATAATGGTGTAACACCCCGACTTACTACTATATCAGAGTGCGCAATTTTTCGCAAATTTTCTGAATAAAATATTTATTTTGCGAAAACTGATTCGGGATGCTACCGTGAAAAACTTGATTTTTCTAAGATACTGATAAAGTTTAATCTGATACATAAAATCGGTCACAAAGTCTTATCCGACTGACGTCGGAACAAAGTCTGATAAAAGTACTGAAAGTTTTTAGCGGAAACAAGCGTGGCTAATTATAAGTACAAATATCATAAAAGTCCTGAACAGCTCGCCCGCTCACTCTTCATCTCCGACCCTGCGTCCTGAAAAACATGAAAGATGTGGGGCGTGAGCACTAAAACACTTGTGCTCCGCAGAAACTCATGCTAATGTAAAACATTATAAATAATAACAATATCATGAACTAAGCACATACAACTGAACTGATATCTGATACATGAAACATGAAACCGGTCTGATCTCGCGACATAAGTCACGTAACTGATAACATGAAATCTCTCGGCACAAACTAATGGCGGACCATGTGCACACTCTAGTGGTTAGATTAGGCCACTAGAACTCAGAATGGACCGGCGACCATTCCGAGCGGATACTGAATATACATACCTCGACCATGGTAGCGTAATTATAAACAATGTAGTACTTAGTCTGAGTCCCCACCTGAACTGTTGAAACTGAAACTGAATGGCAGTGCTGATGTCTGATCAAACTGAAAATAATATAAACAATTACTATTGACTATGCTCAGACTGATAAATTTAACTGTTTAATTACGTTAAGGTGCTCTATCGAATCGGACAAGACATTCGGACTTATTCGGAATAACTGAAACCGGCTAAGAACGAAACTGAGTTGGCATTAATTAACTGAACTGAACTTGACCCG